TGCCAAACTAGTTGTCTTATTTGTAATTTTGTCGAGATTATTCTACTCCCATTGAGACATTTTGACTGAGTGTAGAAAGTAAAATCACAAAAATACTGAACTCCGAGGAAAATTCTAAAAGGAAAGTCCCTAATCAAATGGCAAAATCAAAAGCTCAAACACATCAAACGAATGGATAACAACTGTCATATTCCTGACTTGGTACAGGCATTTTCTTATGTAGAAAATGGTGGATTGAACCTGGTTTTATAGCTAACTAAACCTCTCACTTATATGACAGTCGCATCAAATTCCATTATATTGACAACGATGCGTGAACAAAACAAACAGACACAATAGGTAAAAATGTCAAAAATAGGGGTACAGCAGTCCACATTGTGTTATCACCTTAATCACTATAAAAACAAACAAATGTAACAAAACAGCACAAAAGGCATACATCAAATTTAACATCCTCATTTTGCTTTTTTACGATTTTATTTATCTACTAGTATGTAAAATCCACCCATAAAGGATGGAAAGTTTTAAGTACTGGCGAGAATCGCGCGTTTGACGTCACACAGGTAGATATAAAATAATTTTGTCGTTCAAAGTATGACGGGATACATAAGTACAGAGTCACGTCAAATGGATATCACAAAACACAGACTTAACAGTAAAAGTAATATTAATAAAGACAAATAAAAGAATACTATAACACGTTATTAGGATGATAAACAACGTCAGTACGCAGAATCTATACTTCAAGACCATCGTGTATTATTTGTGAAGTTGATACGGAATATTTATCAACAAGGTCTTGGTACCTTCCGATGAACTTTTTTAGAAAAAGGACGAGACGTTCTTTGACATACCCCTGGTTCATCAACTTTCTAGATTCGCATGGCGGGTGATTCATGCATAAGAGGAAACGCGTACCCCGTAGACGCTCCCGGTCTCGCATATGTTGGAATTAATGCGATTTTTTCAGCATTTGTTTGTTATCTTTATTTTTTAATCGAATTGTGAGATTTGAACACATGTAAACTACTGCTGCCTAAATTTGGGCAATGAGAACCCCTTAAAACTGGGGGTGATATCGGATGTTCTTGAAAAGTAAGCATATATTTTGCATATGACATGTGTTTTATTCGTAAGTTGTCAAAGTGTTAGGTAGACTGGGTGAAAATCGGTAAAAGAAAATAAAGGACTTAGTAAAATATATCTGAAATAAATGTTTGATTCACTAAGCTGATAACAATCCCAAAATGTGATAATGACTAAATCCATTTTAGTGAAATAAGTCTAAATAAAAATAATTAGTTCATTCAACATACTGAACTATTCAAAAAACCTTTTACGGTCACCATCATGCATTAGTTGACCAATACATTATCTCTGTGTCGTAACTCACCAGCAACATGTGTTCGCAGTCTGAGATCTTTAGAAACCAGAATAGTAATATGATCAGTAATTTTACGCATTGTTTCCTATTCCTGATTTTGATATTTTGAATGAGTGTGGATTCGCATGGCGGGAAATGCATGCCTAGCAGGAGACGTTGATCTTGTTGACTCACACAGTCTCGTTGTTTTTGGAGTTCATGCGATTCCATGATGTTACCTTGGTTTGTCTTCTTAATTGATTTATGAGATTTGAATATCGGTTAACTTTGGTAAGGCCCAAAGAGAGGCGACAGCTACCAAAGGGACTTTTGTTTTCAAACAGACCTGATGACAATAGTGCCATAACCACTTTTTGTGTGCTGGGAAATCGTAGTATGCGATTTTTTTTTATTTAGCGGGAGATAATATTCAAAGGATTGTTTTATTTTTTGGAATACATGTGTTTATATTTTATTTCATACGAGTTATAAAATGCAAACGCATGAAACGTTTACATGCAAATGTATTATATTTTGTTATTTTTGAATGTGAAACGATGTTTAAAGAGTTACAATTGCAAAAATATTTTGAATACTTTCAAATTTGATACTATTTGCATATATTTGAACTATTTGCATATATTTTGAACACATTTGAGTATATTTGAACATGATATCTGTGTAAAGTTAAAAAATCATGATTCAATCATTATTCTTTTGTCATTTTAAGCTGCATCTAAAAATGTTAATTAAGGTCATGTCCCATACTAAGTCACCATTGTGATTTTTTAAATTAGCAAAATTATTCAAGTCGAGTAGTTACAATCAACAGTTAATTTAAAGAGATGAGTTTCAAAAGAGCTATGGGATAGCAATGATCAATCGAATTTTAAAATTGTTCATTTTGTATATTAGTTCACACCTTGGCGTTAAATAGAAGTTTAAGGACGATATCACTCGGTTGAAAGTGTTATGCTTTCCAAATATTTACGAAACATTTTCTAGGTTTTATTGTAAAACCAGGTGCGCGATAGAAGCCTCAGACCAGATAATTTGCAGCAAAGCTTTTCAACATCTGCATTAGTTATTTAAAACACTCAACGTCATTCAATAGTTACCAACAGTTATGGTGGTCAGTTGGTCACTGGACATGTCTTTTGTATGTATCACACGACCCATACTGTGGGTAAAACGTCTCTATTGTATATATTGTATTAATTAGTGTTTTAAGATCACTCAAAGAAAATCAAGACTAATTATGTTTAAAACCATGATAATGTTATGTCTAAGTCAAATATCAATGCAGGGGAAATGCTTTTGAAGGTTCAACTCTGAGCCAAATGTTTATAAAGCTAAAGATGTACAATTGTTAATCAAATGCATTCATTTTATCTAATGTTTACATTCTGTCCTATGAAAGGCACACTTAATGATATGTAAAATGTTTATTTTGTATCTGTCAAAATCATTGACGTATAATTCCATATTTGTTTTGCATACTAGGACTACTGAGTTAATCATTTTTCAAATTATGTTTATCGTAATTATTTGAAAAATTATGTGTATTGTAATTATTTTTGAAAAACTGTTTATTGAAATTATTTGAAAAACTATGTTTATTTTAATTATTTGAAAAAACTATGTTTATCGTAATTATTTGAAAAACTATGTTTATTGTAATTATTTAAAAAAAACAATGTCTATTATTATTAATTGAAAAACTAGGTTTATGGTATTTATTTTATAAACTAGGTTTATTGAAATTATTTGATAAACTGTGTTTATTGTAATTATTTAATAACTGTGTTTATTGTAATTATTTGATAAACTGTGTTTATTGTAATTATTAAATCCACTTTGTCATAATTTTAATACTAATAATAACACATTGTAATTAAATGTAGTAGTTTGACATTAATTCTAACATTTCCAATTAGAACTTTTTTAATATAACATCTTGGATAGAACTGTATTAGGATTTTCTGTGTCTATTATAATTGTTGATAAACAAAGGGGGGATGCCATAAAGTTCATGTTGTATTATTTTTGAAAACTGCTTTCCAGCATCCTTATCAAATACCATTCCTTCTTAAAATCGGGTAATATTTTAAATATAGATAAAATATTTTTTAAGAATACCGAAATTTATAGACACAAATCAATTATCATCATGCAGCAGATATGTTCCGTCTAAATATACATCTTATAAATAAAGCATTCAAATGAAGGACAACAATGTACGTCATTTGAAAATTGCCTTCTCTAATTCCGAAGAATGACATATTTAGAGACTTGTACATATTTGATCTGGAGTACTACTTATTACTATACAGACTGTTTTGACGTACAACTCAATCAAAGACTTTCACAGACACTTTTTCTGGAGTAAATTTTAACATTAAAACTTGTAGAACAACATGAAGTCGACTATCTTGTATTTTATGTTTGGTAAAAGCATCTTGAAACTGGTGAATAATATGTGATATTAACGTATTAGACCTTACAGTATAATATTACGTGCTTAATCATAGATATTTTTTGTATTTAATTTCGATATTTTCGATTTGAGACATTTTGATTTTTTGTGAGAGACAGGAACTACGGTTGTGTGAGATACTATATTGTTCTCCCAGTATCTCGAATATTATAAAAATGCAAATCTATTGTTTTTTAATATAAAACTTACTTTTTTTAAATGTAAAATTCATATCCATCTTTACTAGTTAGTTTGTGAATTATTGAAAATGACATAAATAAATTATCATTTTTTGTTCTGCGGTCAATAAATTTGTTACATTAAATAAACAACTGGCTATTTAATGTTATTTTCATATACATTTTAATGCAAGTTCTGTCAATGTCTAACTCACTCCTTAAGTATTCAGTTATTCATACATCTCTGGCTTTCAGATTTTTGGGGTTATGCATTCCTGATGAAGGTTAATAAAAAAATCTCTTCGGACACACCAAATTTATAATGTGTCATTTTCATTTGTACATAACAAATCGTATCGTTGTAAAAGGATATATTTATAAAGATGATATGCCAATTTCCCTTAAATAAAATGTTTTATTTTTCTTATAATCAAACGGGTATTTAAACATACGATGTAAAGATAAACTAACATCTTTATTATTAAAATTGATATACACAAATAACACGGTAAATGATCACAAATTCTTTAAATACGATATGTATTAATTATTCACACATCTGTCTTCTAAAATTTGTCATGATCCATGATTTTCCTACAAAATCAAACTATGTTGATAGAATAAAAAGGTAAAAACTTTAAAATGAGATTTATTTGGTATTCATTTTGATTCCCTAAGAACTATTCTCTGTAATTCACTGTTGGTAACCCCGCCTTCGTCATTTTAACATAATTGATGAACTCAACCGGAAAAACAAATTGTGATAAATGAAGATCTTACCGAGAACTCTTCAGACTACTGTTGGATCTGTAATCTTTTCTCTGATTGGTTGATTTATGCCAGTTATTGACTTTTTTGTAAAGTGTTAATGATGACAGTCAATTGACCTATCAAAAGTCAGCATCTTAATGCTCATAATCAAATATTGAAATTTAGCTAAAGATCATAAATATTAGACATCTGTTAAAAGGTGATACAGATTTCAAATTGTTCCAAGAGTGAAGATACATCCTAAAAAAGTCAAATTGATGATTTGAGCAAGAGACAGGAAATACTATTCCCGATTTAGGTAAATATAATATAAAAATTTAAACTCTAAAAATAATTCTGTTTATTTCTTCGCATTCATTATTATGATTTATAGTTTGAATTAAATAAACATTTTTTTTCTTTAATTTTAAAAATTGTTATACTATTACCGTATCGGTCAATATTTTTTAAGATCTTCCGAATTTGCATGAAATATTTTCTCTTTAGTTTTTCTCATTTTCAGTGGAAGCTAATTTATACTGTAAATATTAAAACAAAACAACTAAATATGTTGTAGTTTTTTTTTCAAAGTAAAATAATGTTATTCAAAACAAAACAAAACAAATAAAAAAAATCTATTCTTTTTAAATATTTCTTTGAAATATTCCTATGACTATCAGGACAATAATTACGTATTGTTTGTATAATATATCTTTAAATTTTACTTTATTTTAAATAGGTATACCAGGAGTAAACAGATTGGTATGGAAACGCAGACGGAAAGACCAAAATTATCATTTTCCATTGAAAATCTCATTGAAAGAAAAGATTACAAAAATGAAACTAGTAAAGATGCTCAAATTGTCTCTAGAAATGTTGATAAAGACGATTTTATAGTGTGGGAGAAGAACACACCAGTTTACAATGGAAAAGATAGCAATCAGACAGATAAAACCTTGCCGTCAAAAAATTCTTCACCTCATTCGTACAACAACTGGTTAATAAGTCACGATACAGCAAAGAAAGAAATTGTTTCCCAGCCTTTCGATAATTATTATGGCATTCAAACATTGGTGCATCCAGCTTTTACCATGGGAAGAATGCCTAACGAGGAATACCAAGCGTACCTTTTAAGATACTATTCACTTCTACCGACAAACACTTTAACATCTTTTGGCAAATATTTAGACCTGAAGAATCCAACTTTAAAGAGGTTTCCAAATACTACCAAATCAAACCGTTTGGATCTACAAGACAAGGTACAGAGAAATCCTTCCGATGAGAAAATATCACAAGTTAGAGACATTAATGACAACACAAAAGAAAACCCTCTCTCTGACTTTATAAAAAATGAGAAAGAATCGACAAAGGAAATAGATGATCCCATTAAAGTTCTGCAAAGTAAAGGAAAGAAGGTTGTCTCAAAGACACAGAAAACTTTTACATGTCCTGAATGTGGTAAAATCTTCAATGCACACTACAATTTGACAAGGCACATGCCCGTACATACTGGAGCCCGACCATTTATTTGTAAGATTTGTGGGAAAGGTTTCCGACAGGCGAGTACATTGTGTAGACACAAGATCATACATACATCTGATAAACCACACAAGTGCGGCAAGTGCGGGAAAGCTTTTAACAGGAGTTCGACACTTAACACACATATGCGCATACACCTGAACTACAAACCATACGTGTGTGAATTTTGTGGGAAAGGCTTTCACCAGAAAGGAAACTACAAGAACCATAAACTAACTCACAGTACTGAGAAACAATATAAATGTAATATTTGTAACAAAGCCTTCCATCAAGTGTACAATTTAACATTCCACATGCATACACATAATGACAAAAAGCCGTATACATGTCATATGTGCGGTAAAGGGTTTTGCAGAAATTTTGACCTCAAGAAGCATACACGAAAACTTCACAATGGGAGTAACTTGCCATCATCGTCATCATCAGCGTCGTATTCAATCGACAGCGCCTCTTACTCCAGACCAACAAATGTTTTATCTCAGCCCTCGATGCCTTCACATCAAAGTGCTTTCCTGTCGACCAGACCAAGCGCATACGGTAATCCGTCTTTAATATATCATCGTAATCTGCTTTCTCAGTACATGTTGGGACAACCAGGAGCTGCATACCTGCAGAAATTTAACTGTTTTGTGTGAGATTTTGATCGAAGGTAAATTTTGTTTATTTTCATTCAACTTGTGATAAACAATTATAGTATACCACTGAACATTGTATTAGAAGGAGAAACGTGCAATACAGTATGTACAAACAATTGTCTATATTTGTATTATTTCCTTTTTTAACTTTTAAACTTTTCACAAATTTTTAGTAGGACGGCACAGTGAATTTTAATTATAATAGACATTTATGACTTTAATAGTCAATCCCTTTTTTTCTGTTTTATTTATCGTTTACATTTTGGTGCAAAAAGGTGCAGTCTTCTGCAAGTCAATTTTTATTATTATTTCCAGGATCATAGTGCTTTTTCATGTACAATTATTTGACACATAACCATAGAAAATGCTTTTATTGAGAAAGTGCTATATATTGTAGTGTTTATTTATATGATAATTATTTTATTAAACATGTTAAATATATAATATGTCTTTCTTTACTGATGTTGTTGACGGTTATTTTTCATGTACATATTTATATGGTGAAGCATGGAAATAAAACCCACACCGTACTGTTTAATTTAACACCAAACTATAATTTACCATAACAGAAAAGGCATATATATGCACACACCATTTAAAAACAATAAAGCTACATTATGCAACTACAAATATAAGAAAAAGGTTAAAAGATATATTTGGGACAATTATCTAGTATCTAGTATAAAAGTTATCTCAATAAGTAACTCAAGCAATCTATAGTCTTAAATGTTCACATACATTTAGATTCATGCATAATGGAAATATTTGTAGCACAGACGTTAATTCAACTGACATTCATACTAGCTTTTATAAAAAAAAAATTAATAAAAATATGTTTTTGTTATATTTTTGACGAAAATTGAACTTGAATAGGAATACCAGAAACTTGATATATAAATAAATTTATGTTTTTCAAATTTCCAAATTGTACAGTATTTTCGTACAAATTTTAAGAACATTTTGGAAATGACTTTTTCATTACAATATAAATGCAACAATTATATAAATTTGAAGACAGTAAAAACAGTATTGATTTCTCTTTAAAACTTCATTTTTTTTTAAATGAACTTTGTAGTGCACATTAATATTAAAAGGCAACTCTGATGTAACTAACATTATTTGGCAACAAATTATTGTTGAGCAGAGGATTTGCCTGTCAAACACTGCGTTAGGGGGAAATCCTCTTTCTTTCTCTTAGGAAATGTGTAATAAATATGTTTTTAAAACAAATTACATTCCTTCTTATAATGCATACCTATCTTGGAGTGTTATAAATTCCGCGGTGACACTTTATAATTTTGGCGTGGTCAATTACTTTGTTTTATATTCATGCGTTTTATTGTAGAACTTAGTATGAGAATTTAAATCGTTTTTCGAAATATCATTCAAATCGATTTTTCTACTTATACTCTAGTGAAGTTCCACTTCCAAATCTTTTATTTTTTTTATATTACCTTAATATACAGAAACAGTTAATTTAAAACACTGATTTCACTCTTTCGTTATATAAAAAATGTTTTCATAATCTTTAGTAGACAGTGTATAAAAATCAGGAGATATGGTATGATTGTCAATGCGACAACATCTCCACCAGAGACCAAAGGAGATTGTGTTCATTCGCGGAATTACAACAACTAATTTTTGCCGAACAAATTTTGTGATTTGGCTCTGTAAGATGAAATTCCACTCTCTAAATTGAATACAATTTGTTTTTAGTGTTAAAAATATAAAAGGTACACACATAAGTTTTTGTATATATATACATTAAATGTAATTGAGATGGTCGTAATAACAAATACATTCATATGACTACTCGAATTTGCATTGTAAGAATTGTCTTTAGAAAAATACTCTTTAAGAAGAGAGGCTAAAGATAACAAAGGGACATTCAAACTCAAAAGTTGAAAATAAACTAACAACGCCATTGCTAAAAAAGAAAAAGACAAACAGTACAAAAAACACAACATAGTGTCCTCAGAGTTCAATATTCCAAAACTATTCAAGACATCTTTATACACAAAAATAATCAGATGTTGTATGATTGTCAGTGAGACAACTCTCCACCAAAGAGCAAATGACGAACAATTTAACAACTATGGGTCAACAAACGTCCTTTACCAATGAGCGAAACTCATACCGCATAGTAAGCTATAAAAGACCCAAAAATGACAAATGTAAAACAATTCAAACGAGAATCGCAAACTCTGCATTCAATCCGTCACCTAATTTGCAAATCTGGCGGACTTTTAGATTTGAAACAATTATGACCTAGAGCTAATTTGTGATGAAAGAATCTTGTGACAGAAGAAAATTTTGTATGAATATTATACAACAGGAATTTGTCGCTCGCAAGGAAATCAATATCGTAACTTGTATGTACTATCGGATACAATACTTCATACAAAGTATTTAAGAAATAATCCTCAGAATTCTGTGGGGTATGCTATGGAATCTTAAAAAAAATTCAAAAAGTCCCTTCTTCTATGAATTGAATTAAAAAATTAAATTTCATAAATATTATCTTCATATGCATCTTATCAAAATAAAAATAAAAATGACATTTACTAATAGATGTGAAAACAAGACAGAAAGGCGGATTATTTTATGTGAAACCAATATTATGTCAAACTCTTTTTGATGATTGCACATTTTGAATGAATAGTGTTTGTTTTGTCGTTGATAACCTATATTTAATTGACACTTTAGCTAATTTCATCCTTTTGTAAACCGATCGTATATAAGGATTTTCAAAAATTGAAATTACAAACAAATGGGTAAAGTGTCGAAATATAGGTATATACAATAATGGTTTGAAATCTGATGCTCTTAAAAAATATTATAAAGTCCTTAATATGAATTTTGACAATTTGAAAGGCGAATGCGTTAATAAAACAACAACCCCACCACTCAAATAAGCAAATAGACATCTAACTCACAGTAATTTCCAACGTCAAGTTATATCCTATCGTGTGGTGCCCTCCTATATGTCGTTTTATTGAACTTATGTTGTTGGTGTGCTGTCACATTGACGTTTATCTCACGTCTCCTTTTATTTTTACTGTTGATTCATTTTCAAACTGTTCCTTTGCATTGCTGGTTAAACATTGAAAAAAGCTGGAAATGTACTTGTGCACTTGTACTTAGTGGTACATATTACGTATTCCAGGAACGGTGTTCAGGTTATGATTGTTTTAATTTATACACGAAGAAAGTTTACCGAAAACAGTTCCTTAGTCCCGGTATACTAGTAAACAAACAAATACGGCAGTGAAAACAGTTGCAAATTACATGAACTCAAATTAAATCAATTGATTGTCGTTTTACATCCAGTGGCAAATATTTCATGCATATTAAAGACGCAAAAAGGGATATTAGCTCAGATGTTCCAAAAATGGTTGAATTCATACAGATTAGTAAGCTGTTTTTTGTGAATTGACGTTCCCAAACATGCTCCATTTTGAAGGACGTTAGCAGGTTTTTTCATACCACAGCGTCCTGCTTACCTTTTTGATGTCGGATCTTTCCTTCATTTTGAATGTCTCAATTGGTTATGAATGCTATTTATTTTCAAACAAATGCAGCGAATTTCATTGACAAATGTGCATAATTGTACAAAATTATAGAAGTAACGTTTGTTATAATTCTAGGGTTGGACTTACGCTGTGAGAAGACAGAATTAGAAATGAAGTTGAAATAGAATTAAATAAAACTACCACAAAATTAATTCATCTCGTTTGTAAATTCAGACTGTTTTCCGGAGAATATTAATTTCATGCTTTTCTTTGTTGTTTTTCTGTGAGATCAGCTCGACAGAAGGTATTTGTCACATTCATCATGTCCAAGTTTTTTTCTTAACGAAAAAGATGATATGGATTACATATTTAATACATGCGGTAAGCAACAAAAAATGTCTAAAGAAAATTAACCAATTAGCTTGATTTCAAAAGGGAGTTCTTTATATTTTGAATATTATATTAAAAGGACGATATTAACAAAGCGATATTTGCTAGAAATACTAATAAGACATATTGTACTTAATTATTTTATTCATTTATTCTCGTATTAGCTCTTTGAAGCTTTTGGGTTATTGAAAATGAATTTCCAAGTAATGGAATTAATTTCATGCATATGCATGCTAACTTTTATTTCCTGTTGTTTTAAACTGACGTGTTCGTAATTACAAAGCAATAAGGTTTGTCAGTACAAAACAACTACAGATCCCAATGGTGTAAGTGTTCTGTTCACAAATTCTGAATACCGGTATTTCTTTTAATAAAAAATTAATAAGTGAGCTTTCCCCCGCTTACATACAAATGACATATGCTTAAACAAAGTCGCTTCCTTCTATGATAATATTTTAACGTTAGTTTGCATTTTTTGGACATCAGGTTAGATGATTTTAACAAATATGTTCAATAACAAGATCCAATTGATAAATCAAAATGAAAAAATCAAATGCAGTTAAAAGTTTCGCAAACATATCAAAATAAAATTATGTCCGATTTCCTACTGATTACAATAGACAATATCTATTAGCACAAACACATTTACAATAAATGGTTAAGGCATGATTATAAAGTAAAGACAATAAAACAGACAATTGTACAGTAAAAAAAAAAAGAGTGATAGTGGCTTTCACATGAGAATTAAAAAAAAGTATATATCATAACAAAAATATTGACATACTATAAATTAAAAACAAATTCTTACTGAGAGACAATCATTAATGTATTTTGCAGTGATTTGATAATGACTTGCGTGCTGCTGCTCAACAGTGTGGACATAAGATTCAGTGATATTACTAAATATAATTTCGTTCAGTTTAGATATGTGATTATTTTTTGATATAAGTACATCTTAATAATGTATAGCATGGACAGTCTGAAAAGAAATGGTATTCACCTTCAATTTGTTTTCTGTCACAAGACAGACATAAGCATTGATTTCTTTCAAAGTAACAATAACGGTCCCTTTCAATAGCTAGGGAATAGGCACTGAGTCTAAATGAACTAAGGACTGATAATTTATATTCACGTCTAGGCAGAAGCACCCGTTACAGTCATTATTTATGTTAATATAACTTTAAATATATATATTTATATATACAAAAGACCAAATGAGTGAAAAAGTATATTTTAACAAAACGCATTTGACTAGCAGGTCGAACAACTGATGTTCTTAAACCCTGCTGAGTGCCATTCACAAGATGTAACAAAATAGATCTTGATTAAGATCTATTTTGTTACATCTTGTGATCCGTTTATTTGGCAATCGCCAATTGCAGTCAGCAGGGTTTAAGAACATCAGTTGTTCGACCTGCTAGTCAAATGCGTTTTGTTAGAATATACTTTTTCACTCATTTGGTCTTTTTGGGAAATGTTGTTTGCGCTGTATTTAGACCACT